TAAACACATACATATGATTATATGATGATATATATAAATATATATATATATATATATGATATATATATATAAATATATATATATATATATGATATATATATATACATGTATACAATAAATTGTGACAATAATATGTTCTCAATGTCAATGCGTGGAATCTTAGTCTACCAAAGACTCATGTAGGTGTCCCTTGAAAATGAGCGCCCTACCCCCAGGTTATGGTATTTTCAACAGGAACACCATGATCTGATAAACCACTAGGTTTGGGATTTAGGGTTGATGATGGTTGAGGATGATTCAGGGGCAACCTATTCTCAGACCAACCCGATTAAAATCCCATCTATTCCCAACGTATGGTTTACTCTCTATGGAAAATCACCATTTTTAATAGGTAATGTAAATCAACTATGCATGGGCCATGTCCAATTGCTATGTTCAACTACCCAAGGGTACTTTTTTTTTTATATTACTCCATAATACCAACTACTCACCTGTCGCTGTGACGTCCCCATCCGCCAGTTCCTTCTTCAGTGCATCCTTGCAATGGAGGGGACGGGGAGGTGTCCTGCTTGGAGGGGGTTGTGCGAATTTGGGCATGGGTCAGTTCCGATCGCAAAGCTAGAAAACAAAATGGACACTTTGTGAATGATGTCAGAATTGATTTATTTTTATTTATAATCAAATTAATAATGTATATATATATATATGCTTAAATATATTATTATATAATTACCTCAATAATATATAAAAAATACATTAATAATAATAAATAATAATAATATATATATATATATTGTTTTAAATATTATTACATATATAATCAACTGAACAGTATATAGAATAATTTTAATAATCAAAAAATATTTGAATATAATATATATATATATATAATCATTTTGATAATATATATAATTTGAAGAATAATATATATTGTTATTTGAATTATTATATATATATATATATATATATATAACTATAAAAAAATAGAATTATATGCATAATAATAATTATTATTTTGCTTGTAGTTATTTATATATATATATATATATCATTGTATATGTTATATATATTATGATATATATATATATATGTGTTATATGTACTATTGTACATATGTCTATGATTGTTAAATATTTATATATAATATTATATATATGTTGTTATATGTATTATGAAAAATATCATTACATATATTACTGTATTTATTATTGTGCATTATTATTTATATATAATATTCAAAATATTATTAAATATAATATTAAATATATGATTGTTACATATATATATATAGATTACTAAATATATTATTATTATTAGTTTAATTATTATTATATATATATATCATAATATACAATTATATATATTATTACATGTATATATATAATTAGAATAATATTATATATATATATATATTATCATATACACTATTATATATATTATGATATTTATTATTATAAATATATGTGTTATACATATATATATATATATGATTGAATATAAACTAAAAATATTATTATTATATATATGTAAATTATTAAATCTATATAAACCTGCCATTAACATTTGGTGTTTTATCATATCCTTAAAAAAAGGTGAGTTTGAGATACCTTGAGCCTCTTCAGTACGGTCAAGCTCATGGGCCACATGGGCTATGTCAAATTCAAAGGCCCAAAGGCGACCACTGGGACCCCCTGCCACTTGTTCTTTCGCATCCGCCAATTCACTCTGAGCATCCTGCAGGGCGACGACATGTCCCTTCCATGTTTTTTCGTACTGGTGCTTAGTAGTTAGTAGAAAATGGGGGAACTGGGATGATGGTTGGCTATGGATTGGATCATTCCGATTCCCCCTTTTCCATCCTTTTCCTACCTTTAGCACCAGCAAGATGTTCGATACCTGAGACTCCCCAGATCCTCAAGGTACTCAAGGTACTCATATCTCAATGGGGTCTTTTACCCTTAGCTCGGCGCATGCAACTTATATGGTGGTTAGAAACTTCAGAAAGGGATCTTGATCTTACCATTCAGTCAGATAAATCGAAATGGAGATGTTAGCTACGAAGCTTTGGTATTTCAATCCTTCTCAATTGTCCATTATCTTCATTTTGTTTACATCCCATCGTTTTGGTGGTTTACTCATGAAACAATGGCTGCCACCTTCATGGACATCTGACGGTACCTCCCCCCGCAATAGTAGATGGGTAAAACGACACATTGTTTAGTCAGTGGCTGTTGGTAGCTACTAATTTCGTCAGAAAGATTATTGGAACACCAACAGCCACCAATATGGCTTCTAATATTAGAACTGACAAAATATGTTGGTGACTATTATTGGAACACATATTGGAACACTCTTCTAATATGTCATCTTTCTGTGGTTTAAATCCATTTAATCCCCAGAACTGCTGGTGAAATCGCCATGAACCTTATCATTTTTTGGGGTCGGTAACCTGGCACGGATAGCCACTCATAATATACATATATATATATATATATATGTATATGTATGTATGCATGCATGCATGTATGTATAATAGTATATATATATGTATATGTATGTAGATATACGGTTGGTTCAGCTATTTCCAACTGGTTCATACCCCAATAAATCTCATGGTCTCTTGTACCAATGATTCTACCCATGTTCCACCGGTTTTGGGTAAATTCCCATCTGTTAATTCGGATTGGAGCCTCTAGCGACTGCTCCAAGTCTTTACAGAAAGACTCGGCGTTTTGCCTCGAAAGCGGATGTGGCAATTGGATTGGGGCATCTTTACAACATCGGCGAACTTTTCAGGCTCAGAAAGATTGGAATTGAGGCACCTCCATGGCGATTTCCATAAATGGGGGTATCCAAAACCAAAATGGATGGTTTATTTCATGGAAAATCCCATGAAAATGGATGATTTGGAGGTACTTCTATTTCAGGAAACCACCATCTATATATATATATAGATCCGATATGCTCCAGTGAAGCAGTTCTGTTACCCTGAAGTTAACTTGGACTATCACAAGAGACGTGTCTGGGAATCTAACTTAACACTGAGGTAAGAACTACTCAAAGAAATGTTGACACTTGTTCTTTCATATTCCATGCACGGTCCCCACAAGAATAAACCAACAGATAGTTGGGGTATGTGGGGGTACATCGTAGGAAAAAAAAAATGGAACCTAGAAAATTGACAAAAGCTGCCGTTTAAGCAATATCCAGATCTTCCGCGCATGGTAAATTACAGTAAATTACATTATTTATATATATATATAATTATATATATAATATATAATAGTATATTATATTAGTAAATGTTCTTGGATTTACTCCAATAAATAACACCTTAAAGACCATATGCCATTGATGCTACCTGTGCGGTTCCATGAAACATCATTCCCATCTCCCGGGGGGCGAAGAGGAATATTTTTGCGGAGGCTACAGTACCTCCTGATTGGAACAACATGCGCCACGTAAGTTTACTAATTTCGAGGGTACTATACCCATAGGATCCATGTATGGTATATATGCTAACATTGGGGGTATATTGATGGTAAATGTTACCATATAGAGCATACATGGATCCTATGGGATATATAAAGGGAAATAATACTATTTTGGAAAAGCCCCCATATAAAAAAAAAAAAAACTCATGGGTTTATTAATCCGGGGTTAACATGAAGTACGATATGTAAACTAACATTTTTGTACCCACAGAACCACTTACAGCCCCAGAGACGGTAGTGACTTTAAATCAGCAGCATTCACCTGAAGGAACACATGGGGTGTTCTTTAGATGCAAAATCCCTGAGTCACCATTGGTTTCAATATTCCCATGGTCCAAAATTGGACGATTTGGGAGTACCGCCCCATTTTAGGAAACTAGTATGTGATGATATGTAGATATTCAATGTTACCATGCACTGAGACTGTGGGGTATTGACCCGTTGCATCACATTGCATCCTCCTGGTGGCTCTTGAAACGGAGACATCTGGGAGCAGCACCACATCTTGGTCGTCTGAGACAAGGCCTCTTGCAAATGGATGGACTAAATGCACTAAGGAGTTTCGTAACATGCAGTACCCCCATTCCCACACCCTTGGTATGTATATGTAATATGTATACATATATATATATATATGTGTATATTGGTTTTGCTGGGGATGATATGAGATGATATCCAAGGTACAGTACTGGTAGCATGGAAGGCTGCAAGCAACAATGACCACTTGGATGTTCCCAAATGTAAACATCTTGCTAACTTGGCCTTGGAAAAACATCGGGGAACCCGTCAACAAGACCGTCCGTCAATGAGTTCTTTGGACTTTGCCGGCTTTCCACAATTTGGGAGGTCGGGATACCCTAAAATTGGACCGGTTTTTGTATCTGTAATCCCAAATTATCACAAATGATCTAGTTATTCCCTGTAATGCTGTACATTCTGGGAATGACTCATCACATTCATCACCTTCATCCCTAACAACTCGCGTTAGCAACATGATCCATATGGAAGTCTTTAAGATATATTACCATCGGGTTGCCGAACTTGCCATGGAGATAAAACTGGGAAACTCATCCACCTTTGATGGGCCATGGGGCTGCCACCTTCCAACACGATTTCCTGGTTCTCTGGATCCTCTGACTGTGAACCAGCACTGAATTAAACTAATTTAGTATACAGTATATATATAATTGTGTATGTATAAATATATATATATAATATATATTCAATAATTGAATATATATATATGTGGTTTTATTAATTAATATCGTTTTGAAAGGTTGTAGTTACAGTTATAATCTTTAAATATCTATAATTCATTTTATTGTTAGGTGGGACACTTCCTTTTTCAGCTTTTACCTGCACCAAGTAGTCATAGTGGACCGCTGATCTACAGGAAATCATGGAGTTTATTGGAGTTTACACCAGCCATACTTTAGGGGGGGTCATATCAAATATGTTTTCCCAGGAACAAATAGGAAGTCGGATGTATATGAACATTTACAAGAGAGACATGTTGCAACATGTTGCAACATGTTGCAACCACCAAACAATCACCCACCAGGTCTTTTGATCAGAGTCTGCCAAGCTCAAGGCTTGCAAAGTGTCCAGCAACACTCATGTCTACAGAAGCTACAAGGCCACAAGAGCAAGTCCGCGCGAGCCAAAATATATTGGCAAGATTGGTGACCAATCTAAGCATCATTGATTGGTGGCTCAACTCCGAAACTCCGAAAACGAGTCACTGGGCTCCATGTCCCAAAGTCGGGATAACGACTGTAATTTGAATTTGAATCCACCAAATCCAATGCATGTTGGACTAGTCATCAAGGAGATCCCCTTCAGGGAACCTCCGGAGGCATCAATCCTTCACTTGCTTCACTTGCTTCACTTGGTTCACTTGCGCTCGAGACTACCTCAGATCATGGGCCAACCTCGAGATCCCCAACAATGCAATGTTGTATCCCAAAATGAGATATAATATACCCTCAAGTTATGACAGTTTCCGTTATGGTAATTTCCTGGGGACAATCAAAATAAACCAGTGAATTTCAGGGTAGCATGAGGTAGCCTCTTTTCAGACAAACCTGGATGATTCATACTTGACATCGACAATTTATTGGGCAGTTCTGATGTTTTAACTATTGAAACATGGAGAAAGGGCTTTCTCGAGCAATCTCCTGGGTCGATTCAAATTGGCGACGCGGAAATGTGATGGAAATCCCATGGAAATCCCCCATGGATGGATCCAATTGGAGCAAATGCTGCGTCACTTTCGCCGAGTGGTTCATAGTCCATAGTGGTTCCATGTATAAAAATAGCTAAAGATTATACCCCATAGGATCCATGTATGCTATATATGGTAACATTTACCATCAATATACCCCCAATGTTAGCATATATATACCATACATGGATCCTATGGGTACATGATCCCAGTAATCGATGGATGTCAAATTTCTTCTATGGTTCTACCAAACATGACACAGACTGAACTGTGAATTTGGGGATGGCGGGGCTCTTCAGCTCTCCTTGAGGTCTGTACAAGGTGGTGCCGGTGCCCCCCTCCAGTTTTGTTTGTTGGTTTATGAGCCGCCACAACTAACTACTTACTACTTATTATAAATTATGTAGTATAAATCAACTTAGCGATTTAAATTGCATATTTGTGTATTATGTGTGTGTATATATATATAAATCCGGTGTTTTCGTGGATCCCCGCGTTCTCTTCTTTTTGCAGCACCACCGTGGACGTCTCTGCATGGCCGAGGTCGGTGACCCCAGGCATCCAGCGGAATGGTCTGAACAGCAACAGCAATTGTCATCTATCAATGGGAGTTGATTATCCATGTTTTCAAGGTTTGTATATATATATATATATGTATGCATGTATATATAGATTTTAAACATTGAAAAATGGGAAGACAAAAAACAAACACATCCTTGTCAAATCAAGGCATACGCTGCGAAGAGTAGCATTGAACACAGATATGTCCTCAATGACTTGGAGAGGGGGGGCGGGGTTCGGGTGGTGTGCAGCGCGCAGTTTCGATCGCAAGACCAGCTACGATTCATCAGCATGGAGCACATCTTCTTGAAGCGTGACATCCGGCCTGCGTGGATACAGTTGAAATGGCATGAGACGACCATGAATGATCGCATTGAAACATGTTGGAAAATGTTCATGAGAAACTACCACTCAATTCATGAGGAGATACTCAAGGACCCAAGGAGCTTTGGAAAATTGAGGGGAGCTGGCACGCTCGCCATGACAGGACCGCAAGCCAATGTTGATTAAGATTAATACTATATATATATAATATCACATATATGTGTACATATATGTATATATATATATATGCCAAATAATCATAGATTAAATAGGTTGCGGACATCATTTGATTGTTGTCCAATCCATGTGTCTCTCCTAGCCTGGCTGGTGCTACTGTTTTTGCTGTCTGAATTCGACTCATGTGAATGCCCAAGGAACAAACAACTTCGGACAAGATATTGCATAGTGAAAACAGGCATGATTCACCTGAAAAGGTAGGTGTGATGTGCCCATATCATCAAACACGTCCTTCAATGATCTTCAACGTTCCTCTTATTCCCCACCTGCCAGGTGAGGGTTGTTAGATTTTATGTCAGTTGCCTGGTCCTCCTCGTCCTCCTCCTCCTCCTCCTCGTCCTCCTCCTCTCGTTGTCCTCCTCGTCCTCCTGCTCAACTGCGACTCGCGATCCACAGTGTTCTCTGTCGGACCTCCACCACGACCATCCCCGCCCAGTGTTCCCTGCCGGACCTCAACCACGACCATCCACGCCCAGTGTTCCCTGCCGGACCTCAACCGCGAGTATCCACGCCCAGTGTTCCCTGCCGGACCTCAACCACGACCATCCCCGCCCAGTGTTCCCTGCCGGACCTCAACCATGACCATCCACGCCCAGTGTTCCCTGCCGGACCTCAACCGCGAGTATCCACGCCAAGTGTTCCCTGCCGGACCTCATGTAGGAAGATATGGGACAAAGAATGTGCAGAAGAAAGTTAGAAAGAATGTCAGAAAGACTGTCAGAAGATATGCCAGAAGATATGCCAGATAGAATGCCAAATAGAATGCCAGATAGAATGCCAGAAGATATGCCAGATAGAATGCCAGATAATATGCCAGAAGATATGCCAGATAGAATGCCAGAAGATATGCCAGATAGAATGCCAGATAGAATGCCAGAAGATTTGCCAGATAGAATGCCAGAAAATATGCCAGAAGATATGCCAGATAGATATGTCAGAAGATATGCCAGAAGATATGCCAGAAGATATGCCAGAAGATATGTCAGAATATATGCCAGAAGATATGCCAGAAGATATGCCAGAAGATATGTCAGAATATATGCCAGAAGATATGTCAGATAGAATGCCAGAAGATATGTCAGAATATATGCCAGAAGATATGTCAGATAGAATGCCAGAAGATATGTCAGAATATATGCCAGAAGATATGCCAGATAGAATGCAGAAGATATGCCAGAAGATATGCCAGATCATATGCCAGAAGATATGCCAGATAGAATGCCAAATAGAATGTCAGAAGATATGTCAGATAGAATGCCAGAAGATTTGCCAGTAAGAAAATGTATAAATGTCATGGTGGGGATCACTCGAAGCAAAGTATTTTTTTTCATTATATAATTTTATTGTCTAAGCTTAGGCTATACACCAACTAATAGTATTTTAATCATGTTTTCCTCAAGAAATCTGAAACACTGGCCACAAGTTGGGATTTTTTTCACCGCTTCCCGGCTCAAAAAAGGCGCCGCAGGCACCTTGCTCTGCCTCTTGCTGCACGGTGGCCATGTACACCAAAGCAAATCCCGTGAGGCAAAATGCCTGGCACCGTTTTTGGGAGATATCAGGGATATGAACTTCATTTGATTTATAACTACGTAATATTTAGAATATATGAATATATATATATATATATATGAATGTACATATATATTTATATATATGTATATGTATATATATGTATACATATGTGTTAACATAAATATATTAGTATTAGGAACATCCAATAATAAGATCTAATAACTACCAGTATGTTATATTCCCTTCCAATCTGTGGGTTCTATAGGATTTCTGTACTGCAAGTTCATCCTGATATTGGATGTTCTTGGAAGTTCCTAATATTGAAACATACAACTCACAAATAAAGTCAAATATTAGAAACATTCAATGCCATCCACTACTTCTAGATCATCTTCAACCATTGGAAACTTCACGGATGTTCATGGATCATTCACGTCTATGTTGATATTCCCACCGGTAATCCATGAAGCCTAGCGTCCATGTGGTGGGGTAATCATGCAAGCAGTTTGGTGAATGGCTACCTATCAACAATTATTGGTTGAAATCATATATCGTTTGCACCTGGTTGTATACAATGTGTTAATACACGCTTGGTATATGGTTTCTATATGGTTCAGATGCGGTCAGTATACGGTTAATATATGATTGATAAATATTATCTCGGTCATGTAGGAGAATTTTGGCTACCATTCTTTGATGGAATATGAGGGTGTCTCAACATGTATCCCAGAAAATAAATCCACTGGTTCATTTTCCAAATGAAATACGACTTTGGCGGCCAAGTTTTCAAACACACCCATAGTTCGAATATCTTGGGCATTTGACGAAATATTGCGAACCAATGCTGATTGAATTATTTTTTTCGGATTGCCGCTGCGGTCTCTTTATCAATAGTCAACTTCTCAGGGAGGGACACAACAGAGTCTTTTGAAACCTGCCGTAGGCCATCTTGTGATAGTTTCTGAGAACAGGATTCATACAGAGTGGTTTTTTAAGCCCAGATTGATAAAATCATTATTCATGGTGAATAACTATGTGTGATCAAATTCCATGTCAATATGCATGATTATTTTTTAAAAAATGTGGCCGTACTTTAAAAACCCCATGGTCCTAAGAATAAGCGCTCCCATTGTATGGTCCCATTACTGAGTGTAAAAATCCAATCCCCCCAATTAATTATAGTTTCTGGGTGGTGTTTCGTATGAATGAATGATGAAATTATCAAACATAAACAAGTATTGATTTGCAATTATTAACAGTTATTAGTCCTTCTTAATAATAACTAATAACTATGACAAATACAAGAAGGTATATTACCAGAGGGTAGACTACCAGAGGGTATATTAGCAAAGCCTATATTCCAATGATCGCAGTAATTGCTGAAAAAAAACCTTGATTTCCATTACTTGCTAACTAGTATTACTTGTGGTATATCCATCAATCTAGTCTTGACTAGTATCGACTAGTATAGATTTTGTTTTGACTAGTATAATCAGTATTGATTCGTATGGATTGGTATTGATTAGTATTAATTAGTATTGATTGTTATTGTTATCTATTATTCTTACTATTACTACTATAGTATTACTATTACTATTATATGCCATATTTTTATCATTCATGTTTTCATCTGATACCCTCTGGTAAATTAACAGTTCGACCCTGGCAGTTGTCGGGGTTGGAAGACTAGTTTCCATTAAAAAATTGGCTATTTTCAGGGTCTATGTTTATTTACTAGTAATAATAATACTATTACTAGTAATATATTGCTATTATTATAACTAACCATTACTATTAGTATTACTATTACTATGATTATATTTTCATCTGGTAACTCAACAAATTTGCCCAGGCCGGGTATCGCACCAAGCGCAGGAGCGAGGTCCAGGGGGTGGCTTCGGAGCTGTCGACCTGTAAACGACCCATAAAAAACTGGTCGATGTACCGGAAAACAATGGTGAAACATATTGAAACATGTGGATAGTTCAGTAGGTTGAGTATGATTAAGTATGGTTAAGTATGGTTAAAATGGTTAAGTATAGTTTATGGAAGATATATCATATATATATATAATCTATCGTCAAAATGGAGTTTATAAACCAAACAAAACTCGGGGGCAGCACCTTGTGAAGGTGTAGCACCATTTTGGGATGTTTCCCCTGACCATCAGCAAAATCGACCAGTTGTTGTTCAATTGGTCAACAAAAAAGGAAACCATGATTTTTCATGGTTTCCCTACTGATCGGTTTAAGGGAAATCTACAAGAAACATCAAGAAACCATATTTTTCCAATGAAATATGGGGGTTTCGTGTGAATTCACCCTTTAACCAATATGTTAAGTTTTGACATGTCTTGCCATTGTTTGACATCCAAATGCACAGAGATACAGAGTTTTCCTCTAATTTCCCTCTATCCACTTCTTGGACCGGTTGCTGGTTTCAAGCCGTTGGTCAGTTCGGATCATCTTTGAAGGTATGGAAACAAAAAACAAAAACCACTGAGTGTAGTAAGTTTAGTATACTTAACTTAAAGGAACACATATTGTTGCTAACTGATTTCCAATGGATGCATTTGTTTGCCAAAAATCCCTGGGAGGAAGGGGAGGGAAATGGTATTGGAATCGCTCGTGGTGGCCACATGGCAATGGGAAATCTGTAGAAAGCGGTCATTTCAAATCAGTGCAAATCATGGACTTTCCATGAAAATATGTGGTCTTCCCATAGAGTATGATGTATGGAGAAAGTAAAAGGAACACCAGTAGGAAGCTAGCAGGGAAGCACAACAAATTCTTATCAATATCATTTGACCTTTACGCATAAATGTGCTTACATAAATACCCCGCCAAGTCAAGTCCTGTTTTTCCCCACCTGCCAGGTGAGGGTCTCTGCATTTTAACAAAGGTGCAACCCCTCTTTTGTTTCTTCTTTTTCTTCGTATTCTTCTTTTTCTTCTTCTTCTTCCGCCTACTCTTCTTCCTGCTCCTGCTTCTCCTTCTCCTCGTGTACTCTTCCAGCTCGTGACTGTGGGTACCAATGGACCCGAGCCATATCGCCAGCTCCCCTAGCGCAAGCGCAGGAGGCAGTGGAGCACGCCTGGACGAGATATAGAAGGTCAGAATATGTCGGATAGAATGTCGGAAAATATGCCAGAAGGAATGCTAGATATAAATATCAGAATATATGTCAGATAGAATGTCAAGTGGTGGGGATCACTCGAAGAAAGTAATTCTTGCTGCCTCTCCACGCTCAATAAAATCCTTGTTAATATAGTAGTCCACGGTTGAGAACCCCATGAATCCCATTATCCTGCCCCGAATTAACATAAACCCTGCCATAAGTTGGGGGTTGGAAGACATCTCTTTCCGGTAAAAACTGGTTATGTTCAGAGTCTATATGGGGATGGGTCAAAACCATGTAGCCCTGCTGAACATCAAAATAGGTGGCAAATGGATGTTCATCCCCTAATAAACTGTATCTATAGGTATTGATCTATACCCATATCTTGAATAACCAGAGGGTAACAGGATTGTCCTCACAGGATTGTTCTAAAACCAGCAAAGCACCCTGCGGCGCCTGTGGCCTCAATTTGGGCTTGCCTGGGGTGATCCTGCGAAAACAAAAATTCAGAAAAACAAATTTCCATTTGGGTCTGTTTGAAATGGGGTATACCCAACAAGTCTTATTTGGGAACATGATGCTAAACCATGCTGGAATTTGGATACTGTATTTTCAGACAAACCCATTGATCTTCGCAGAACCAGGTTTCATTGTTCGTTTTCCAGCTTCAGTTCCCAGGGAAAATGCAACACAGGTTCAGCTATTCCACTTTGACCTAGAATTGCAACGTCGGCATTTTGCCTGTGGCTCATCTACCTTTGCACCCACTCATCCGTCCGTCCGTCCATCGATCCATCGATCCATCGATCCATCCTTTCCATCCATCCATCCATAATCCTTTCCATCCATCCATGCACCCATGAGTCTATACGTCTACTCATACATCTAAGTATCTAAGTATGTGTGTTTCATTGTTAAGTTTTCTTGTTTTCTCTCTGAAAATATATCCTGTAATCAAACATGTGCGCTACAATCCAATGTATATACATATAGACAAAGGTACTATCGCATATACAAACTATCTGTCATCTGTCATATGCACTCTTGTATCTGATTTTGTACCTATAATCATTTGAACGTTACGCAGCAATCTCAACCAGTGGTGTCTATTTCCTCTGCCAATCCATTCGCCTTTTCCCGCTCCTAACGTCCAACTGCGGGCCCAACATGATGGGCACACGCTGCTCACGAGCACCCAGCTGCAATCCAGGGCCTGGCGTCATCTCCGAGGTGTCTCCACCTGCTCCTCCCTGGTTTTTTCCCCACCTGCCAGGTGAGGGTTGTTAGATTTTATGTCAGTTGCCTCCTCCTGCCTCGTCCTCCTCCTCCTCCTCCTCTCCTCCTCTCCTCCTCGTCCTCCTCGTCCTCCTTGTCATCCTTGTCGTCCTTGTCGTCCTCGTCGTCCTCGTCGTCCTCGTCGTCCTCGTCGTCCTCGTCCAACTGCGACCCGCGATCCACAGTCTTCTCTGCCGGACCTCAACCACGACCATCCACGCCCAGTGTTCCCTGCCGGACCTCAACCACGACCAGCCACGCCCAGTGTTCCCTGCCGGACCTCAACCACGACCAGCCACGCCCAGTGTTCCCTGCCGGACCTCAACCACGAGTATCCATGCCAAGTGTTCCCTGCCGGACCTCATGTAGGAAGATATGGGACAAAGAATGTGCAGAAAGAAGTTAGAAAGAATGCCAGAAGATTTGCCAGGTAGAATGCCAGAAAATATGCCAGAAGATATGCCAGATAGATATGCCAGAAGATATGTCAGAATATATGCCAGATAGAATGCCTGATAGAATGCCAGATAGAATGCCAGAAGATATGTCAGAATATATGCCAGAAGATATGCCAGATAGAATGCCAGATAGAATACCAGAAGATATGTCAGATAGAATGCCAGAAGATATGCCAGATAGAATGCCAGAAGATTTGCCAGATAGAATGCCAGAAGATATGCCAGAAGATATGCCAGAAGATATGCCAGATAGAATGCCAAATAGAATGTCAGAAGATATGTCAGATAGAATGCCAGAAGATGTGCCAGTAAGAACATGTATAAATGTCATGGTGGGGATCACACGAAGTAAAGTAATTTGTTGGTACCCTCTGGTAAACGTTTACATAACGAACTGGAAAGATCCACCATTTTTCATGGGAAAACTCACTATAAATGGTGGTAAACTGAGATAACTATGGAAAATCGCCATTTTTAATGGGAAAACTCACTATTTCTATGGTCATTTTCAATAGCTATTTTGACATAACCAGAGGGTAGTTCCCCTTCATGGCCCAGCGATGGCCTGCAGGGCCGTCCGCCAGCGTCAGGGGCACAGAGACGACTTCTCCTGGAGGATTCCTATTGAGCCATTGAAAATGATCCTGGTTGATTGGTTGCGAAATAGGGACTTATACATCTACTTACCTAATTCAGCTACTGGGGATTATGATATATTATGATAACCCATGGGGAAACAAAAGTACATTATACTATTTTCACATACCCGAAAAATAACGTAAAACTTGCAGCGAGTGGGGATGATTCCCCGAAACCATTCACCATGATACCAGGGTTTGGTCACCGTGAAGTCACTATCATTTGCCCAGATTCATATTATAATTAGTATATTTGGTATTACTAATATATCATAATAATAATCACAAGTAAACAGTATAAACCATGAATGATATAAGGTATACAGTATAATTATTATTCATATTAAATAGTATTCTACCTTGTTTATATGGGTTCATGGTATAGCAACCCCCCAAGTAGATGGAAAACAACCTGGAAATATCTATGAAATCTCATCTATAAGTTGTTGGAAATGCCTTTCCATCTATAGTGCTATATATATATATATATATATACATATATATTATAGAAAGTCGATGGGGTTTAGAATGGGGATGTAACCGACCAACACTTGTTTTACGTGGGGAATATGATGGGATATAGTCATAGTCGCCAAACAATTTGATATGATATACCCTTTGGATCCTGCCGTACCTTCTGGTTAAGAAGACTGGGGTAGGACAGCAGGAGGTTCTCAGCAATTATCTGAATCCATAGTTTATGGCAATAGTTGTACGAAAAACAATAAGCACACAGCTAGAATAAGTCAATTCCTGGGAAACTCATATCGGTGGGAGGTCTTTGTATTTCCCCAAATATGTACTTGGCTGGGCGGGCCTAGAAGGTCAGGCAATTATATACTTGCGCACAACAAAAACCAGTGGTTTTGTTGGTTTGACATGTGCGGCGTCACTGCGTGAGCGCGGTTTTTGAAATTTGTGTGTTTCTGGACTCAACGGAGCACATTGTATTCTCATGTTTGGGGTCCTTTTTGCTCGTTTGGGGGCGTTGGGGTGAAGTACTGGTTTATCATCATTGTCGATACGATACAGTAAAATTGCCATTTGGAGATATAGCGATACCACATGTTCAGAGTTCAGACACATCCATTTGGGGCTCTTCATTTTGAGGGAACATTTACAGGAAACCTCTATATTTGATGGTAAAAGGCATGGTT